TGAGATAATTTTTATAAAGAGATTTCTGCACCAAAAGATTATAGAAATAGCAACACCACTTACTTAAGTTATTTTTGCTCAATCATGCTATTAGTCAAGTACTTTTCTATATCCAAGCTTTTTAATTAGAGTTGGAATTTCTAAGCTGCCTATTGATGGCAAGTGCTGTGCAGAAATATTACCATTTCTATTACTAGTCTTGTTAAAGTCATATGGGAGAAACTGAACTTCAGTTTCTAATCTGTCTCAGTTAAGTTTAACCCTTTTGACAAAAAGCCTGCAAGATATGAAGTATATTATGGTTTTCAAGTAGGCCTTTGTATTTTCTTTCTGACCATTACACCACTAATAATGCATTTTGTAAGTTAAAAAGGAGACTTTTTCCTTATCATATAGCATGTTAAACTTAGAAATGTTGGATCTTTTCAGCAAGATGGAAATTTCCATCAAATGCCTCAGAAAAGTCAAATGAAATTGAGCCATTTTAAGAAACATGCCCCACATTGTCCTCAAAAAGTGTAATTATTCACTTAAGGGAAAACACATGTACCAAAACTGGCAGCATTAGTAATGGAAAAAAAAAAAAATAAAAAGTGTCACCTTCTTTATATCAGTCTGAACTCAGACTATATTAGTAACACTCCAGTGCAACTGAAGTGTCTTTTATGGAGCTGATAATATCCATTATACCTTCTAAAACCAAAGACAGAAGAAATACTATGACCTTTCAGTGAATATATACTGAAATACTGTATATGGTTTTCCCTTTCTGTGTCAGGGAGTAGAAGAGCTTTGAACTTCACCTCTGATCTCACTCCTGGAAAATACCTTGACTTTCTAAGGGAATTGGTGAGACTCAAATCACAACCAGAACATGGAATAAAAAGATCTGGCATGTATGCACACTAAAGTACAAATTAAATAATATCATTTCATACTATCAGAAAGCCTACGGGACTTACTGTGTTCAAATTTCAAAAGCTGACTAGGAAGCAGAGACTGTCAGTTCAGGCCATTCCCAGTCTCCAGAGGCTGTACCACTGAAGTTTCCCATCAGTGACTCCTGACAGCTGCAAGGATGCACACAGCAGATACAAACCCAGCACTAGCACACACCAGACATGTACAGTCTTGGTATCATAATACATAACTATTTCTATACCTCAGAGCCTTCAACCAAGTGATGCAGCTGCTCTTAGCCAAGTGCCAACATTAGCAGTGACTCACTCGCTCACTGCCCACACAACTCACCTGTGGTGTTCCCCCCGTGCCTGGCATGCAGCTTCTTTGGCATGTGGGAAGGAGAAGCACGCCTCTCCCCAGCACTCACAGTTCATTTTTGAGGGGAAAAATAAAATTAAGATAATCCTTTAGCTGTCCTGCATCCATCTCCAAAGCCAAACATGGAAAGCTTAATCCCACTGGTGGATACAATTAGTGTAGATGGGAAAACCCCTGGGAGAAGGTAAACAAAACCAACAGGGGAAAGCCGGATGTTAAAGGGCTGGAATGAGTTGGGTTGGAAGGGACATTCAAGATCATTTTGTTCCAACCTCGTGCCACAGGCAGGGGCACATTCCACTAGACCAGGCTGATCTAAGCCCTGTCCCGCCTGGCCTTGGATACTTCCAGTCATAAAGTGTCTTGATCTGTCAGAGCCCCTTTTATAAGTCAGCGGGAGTTGGATTCAGTTCCAAACTGAGATGTTTGAGTGACTGCATCCATGGATGAGTAGGTGTTCAGGTTTCCATCATAGTCAAGAAGGAGTTCCCCAATGGCTCTGTTCCCTTGCCCAAATGCAGACATCTAGTGCCATTTGAAAGGCTCCAGGGAATCTCACCTGGCCTCCAGCTGATGATCCAAGAGGGTTTGGGTGTCCTGCACCTCCTGGATCATACCTGTCAGTCTTGGAGCAGGATTTCCCAGCCACCTTGGCCATCTCAGGTGGTAGGAGATATTTGGGAACTGTATCTATCCCAGAGAATTCTGTCATTACTTTTGGCAGGAGTAGAGTTAAGCCCTCAGCACACATCCATGTGTACCTATGACTGATGGTGGTTCTAGGCACAGACAAGGGCTGTTCTCCCTGAGGTCTGTCACCTTCTTCTCAACAGCAGCCCAAGTAATAAGCTTGATTCTCCAGGTGGATGGATGTTAAAACTCCGAGATTATTTAACAGCATGTCCCAGGCAGCAACATGAACTTAAAGCTACCAGGCTGTATAGAGGGTTCTCCTAAGTCATGAGGAACAGGACCAGAGGATATAGTCTCAAACTGCACCAGAGGAGATTTAGATTGGATATCAGGAAAAATGTCTTCACTGGAAGGGTGGACAGGCATTGGCATGGGCTGCCCAGGAAAGTGGTGGAGTCACCATCCCTGGAAGCATCCAAAACACGAGTGGATGCCGCACTGAGGGACACGTTCAGTGATGGGCTGTCGTGCTGCGTTAACACCTGGACTCAACCACCTCCAGCCGCTGCCTGCAAGGAGCTGAGCCCGTGGCACGGAGAAGAGGTGTTCCAGGAGGAGGAGCAGGAGGGCCAGGAGGAGATGGCTCTTCCCCGCCGAGCCCAGCGCATCCCCCGAGCCATGGAGAGCCTCCGGCGGGTCCTGCCGGTCCTGCTCTGTGCTCGCAGCTCTGGTGAGAACAGGGAGAACGGGGGATGCTTTCACATCCTCTGACAGCAGGGACACAGGTGCTGCCGCCGCAGCCCCATCCCAAATCGTCCCGCCGCTGCGTTTGGTTAATTAATCCCAATCCATTAAAGCTGCAGCTCCCGTGAAACAGCGAGCCCTGCGGCGGTGCGGAGTGCGCCCGCGGGTCGACAAGGGCACGAAGAATTGGCCTCGTGCTCCCTGCAGCTGTCCTAAAAACAAAATAAGAAAGCAACCAGGGAAGTTTCCACTGTGCTGGTCCAGTCACTGTCATGAGCATCTACAGCTGTGCTGTGCCTTCTTCATTGCATGGCTACAAAAGGCAAAGTGTCTGGAATCTGAGGATATTTGCATGTTCCTATGGCATGAAAGTATTTAATTTGTAGTGGAGTAGAGAAGGGATTGTTTGGAAGCGGGAGGGAGGGGAATTGACACCTGGAGTTACCTGGGAATCAAATAAAGTCTATCAGGAAAATGTTGCTTTATTGGAATGTTTATTTGATATGTTGTTACTGTGGCAAAGAAGGAAAACAGCTGTTCATGTCAAAGCACCAAAAAGACTGCTCCACAGGAATCCTGAAGCAAAGTAAAAGGCAGGCATCTGGTAAAGAGCTTGGACACATGAACAGCTCATGTTCAGCTCAAGGTGAACACATGACCATGTGCTCCTTTAAATCACAGATCACTTCAGAATGTTGACAGGAGAAATAATTTAGTCTTCCTTGGCAAATCTACTTACCAGAATAATCTGGATAGAATCCCTGTCAACAAAATCCAAGATAAAATTTAAGCTGCATTTCACTCTGCAAAATGAATGCAACAAAACATGAGTCATCCTTGCAATGTCTTCCATCCTGTGCCTTACCTGGGTGTCATGTCTTCACCTTCCCTGTTATGTCTTTCTAAAGGTAAAGAGGTATGGAGATAAAAGTCAATCTGCAACACTGAATGTAATTTCTAGTGTAAAAGTGATTATATTTGGTATGGAGATTGCTGAGTGTCAGTAAATAATAGTCCCTAGTATGGCATTTTAAAGGCTTGTTACTGGCAGAAGTCAAATTTTGGAAATTTCTTTTCACTCAGGTGAATGTGCAACTGTGATAGAAAGCTGATACAGGATGTTTTCAGAGTGTTGGCTTAGCCTTACAGTGCCCATACTGCCTATGTAAGATTCTCAGCTGCCACTTTTTACCCATTTTAGTTCCTGTGATCTGTATATGAAATCTGTCTTAATAGAAGTAAAGTGCGTTTATTTATTTATTCTGCACCATCAACAAACTACTCAAACTCAGATCATAATTCTGCATCACAGAACACAACTTTTATTACTGTAAATCTGTACTGTAATAAATATTAGCCCCATTTCTGATTTCATGTTAATCAAGAGCAAGTTAGGTATTCAGGGAAGTTATATCTGTGTGAGACTAACATAAATGAGAGAATTATGAGACTCTGTGCCCTAATTTCTCCTGACAAGGCAACAAAATAAAGTCTATTTAGTCCACAGTCTGAATTAAACTGTCCAAATGAATGTAGTTTGATTTTTCTGAAAAGACAGATCTTTGCAGATGGCACTGAAGTCATTGAGAGAGGACCTCTATAAATCAGACTGCTTTTGTTTAGAATGCTAAATGCATACCACCAACTTTGGGATTAGGAAATAAGTGCTGCTTATTCTGAGCTGGGACATTATGGATTTGCCAACCTGATAGAACAATAGTCGAAACTCTGGGGATAATTAAGCTGCATGGAAAATTCTGATGTTAATTTGATTTTCTCATTCCAAGTGATAACTCTAAGTTTTCTGGACTTGCCTATTTCTGTTGTGTTTGATAAATTTTTATGTTAAATCTATGTTTAAATTTAATTCATATTTGTGATCTAGATAGCAACAGAATGGTTTATTTTAAAATACTTATAACACCATATAATTCCTAGTAAGGTTAAAAACCTTAATTTTGTCTCTACTAGATGAGCAAGCAATTTGTAGTGCCTATTAAGGCTTCTATGTGCGTCCCCTGGAAGGACTAGATTATAGTGGTATGTATGAACCTTGTTTCAAACCAGGAGGCATTTCATTTTGAGGTGTTTTCCATCATTGCCAAGCAACAGAAAAATTCTGCACATTCAGTGGCTCTGTTCTTTTTGTCCCATACTTGATAAATCTCTTTTCAGGAAAGAATTCAGTACTTAAACCACTGCCGTGCTTTTCTATGCACTGATTTTCCAGAGAATGACCTCTAGTTTTACTGTGATTTGTTGGCTGGGACTTCAGAAACTTGGAGAAATAGGAGCAAGTTGTGTCTTTTAAGTTTTGAGCCACATAAGGACAATAGAAAAGAATGGCTGTGATTTCTGATGGAGCTGAAAGGCAGGCAAGTGCCTTTGAAAAGTCTGCCTTGTCGGTTGAACCAGTTCACAAGATGACCACCAACAGTATCCATGCCTGGTAAAGACGTGCATGCCTGTTGTGAGGAGTCTTTAGAACAATCATGACTTTGCCAGCTTTGAAGAGAGAAACTAGTTCTTTCCTTAAATTCTGTCTATTCGCCCCTCCAGTAGGGGCAGATTACCCTTTATTGTCACACCAGGATGATGTGCCTTTAGTAGATCCCTGCTCAGGCTGTGTGAGTCCAGGCACTGATGCTGAACAATAGCCTAATGTTGGAAGAGCTATTGAATCCCTGGTAGACTACAGTTATATGAAAACTCACCAACAGTCCCCATCATAGGAGAGAGAGCCCAACCTGCCCATAGGAGCTTTCTTGGAGGAAATCAGCCAGGACAGAAGGCAGAACTCCAGGGCTGTGTCAACTGCTTCTCCCAGAGCATAACTCAGAGGTAGAGCAAACTACTATTTTTATTTCTTAATCATCAAAAGAGTCAGTGATGCTTAACAAATAAGTAAACTGAGTTTCTGAACTCCATTTCCCAAGGTCTTAAAAGAACAGCCTGTAAAATATATTTGTCCTGGATATTTAAACTGAATATAACAACTGCAGTAGGGTGTTTGTGTGATTCATTGTCCCTGCTGTAGCAAAGAGGTACCAGTCAGCAAGTTTTAATGAGAATTCTAATGCTAAAAAAAAAACCATAATCTTTGAAGGTAATTAATGTTGCTTTTAAAAATCTATTTATGTAAATTGCTAATTTCCGTACCATAGTTCTAACAAACACCTGACTTAATGCAAACCAAAATAACAAATCACTCCAGAGTCAGGAAATCCCCCAGATATTTCTGTCATTTCATATTTCCTGACAAGTTGCAGTACAGTACATTTAAAGATCTATTCCAGTGTCTAGTTGGGCAGAGAACAGAAGTTCTTCAGGACTACCATCACATGTTGGTCAAAGTACATATTATCCTCTTATTTTATATCAACGTCTTAAACATTAAGTGGAGCCTGATCATTTTGTATTGATTACAGCATCAAAACAGGAATTCAATACTTGTAACATGATGCAAAATTAGGTTGGTGTTCTCAGAATTTTCTAATAAAAATTGTAGAAAGCAGAAGTATCTGCCAAGGGCTTCTAAAAGCAAACATAATTAGCAATAAGCAATATGGTTGGATATTTATAAAGATTACGTCAATGTCAGTGATTTTCATAGAGAAATGCTCATTACAGCTAGAACAAAATTTTATGGTATCTCACCCTACATGCCTTTAGATGAGGGAAGGCATTTCTTAGAACACGGTAAAGAAATGTAAATGAGCTCCTTGTTCCATTTTATTATGCACTAGTAAAGTTAGTCACTGCATAGTTACCGATGCTTTATATGTGTTATTGTCACCAAAAAGTCTCTGTGAGCCATAAATTCAGGCAGTCGTTTTGGTTCCTTGTTTCTGTCTTCAAACTTTGCATTTTAAATATCTTTATTCTTACTGCAGTCCTAGAACCCTAAAGAACCCAAGAAACCACAAGGGATGAAAAAAGAGAGTACATAATTTTCCTTTTTTTTCTTTCTCATCCCATATAATTTTCAATCCTATTTCTTAGTTACTGTGTTCTTCATTTGCATATGAATTTAGATCTCAGACATCAATCAAAACTGATCAGCTATTTTTCTCTGTAAGCCTGTGAAAAAGTGAAGGGGAAAGAAGATTTGAGATATGCAATTCTATCTGACCATTAATATTTCCAATACAAATAAAAGCAGACAGAGACAAAGATACTGTGGCAGATAGAGACACACCTGAAATGGACACAGACAAACTCGGGTTATAGTCAAGGAAGTGGTCTGAAATGGAGAGTAGTTCCAGAAACTAGATAGAAACTGTCTGGTGGCTTTCTGCTGATTTTCTGTTGGGTGCAGTTCACTACTAGAGTGAAATGCTGACTCTACAGAAGCTGTCAGAAAAAGTCAGACTTAACTCAGGGACAAACCTTGAATCAGATGTGGTTCAGCAAAAATTTCTTAAGGAAAGTGGTGCAAATGTTCTTCTAAACCTAGTATGCATTTACAAGTTTTCCTGTGATGCTGAGTTATTAACTACAAATGTGTAAATATAGATATAAAAGTTAGATTGCTTTTTGGCTACTATAAACAAATTCCAGATTTTACCTGTATGATTCAGAGCCCAACTACCAACCCCCAGGCATGTGATGTGATGAAAGTTGCTAATCTTTCTAGATATCAGACCCAAGACATTCCATAGCGAAGTCGTTAGGGGAAGTTGTGCTGAAAGACAGAGATCAGTCAGGCATTTTGCAAGCAAATTTTACAGTCATTTTGTCCACTGTGTCTGGGATCAATGTATAAAAAAGAAGAGACAGAAGCAGCCTTTGAGACGGATGTGCTGAGGTATATAAAACATCTGCAGCAAACAGGAGCTTCTCCTTTGTGAGAAGATGTAGTGCTATGGCTTTGGCAGTCAGCAGTGTGACTTGGAACTTCCCCAGCAGTCTTTTAGATCTGCTGAGAAAAGCAAACTCAGTGAAGCTCTGTAATAGCAAAGCAAATGTCAGAAGCTGACAAACATCATTCTAAACTGGAGAATCAGAGCCTACCAGAGTAAAGAGACAGCCTAAGAGCCATTCTTCATGAGTTCTCAGTCAGTATAGGGAAGATGCTCAATGCTAGAAGACAAGGTCTTGGCACTGTTTGCTTGTAGAGTCCCTTTCTCTCACTCATACAACAGAATTTTGTACACTTTTCTGTGGTCTCAAGTTTCCTTTGCAGTTATTAGAAGGACCTCAGAATTTGACCAGACAGGTATATTTGTACTTGGGAACCTCATGACAAAGCCCCCATATCCAGTTTGCAAATGTTATTCTATTTGTAAGGCTTAACACTGAGGTGGGCATGGGGATTACAGAATGAACATGGGTATTTGACAAGTCTTAAGAAGCAGAGATGACTTCTTGCCCCTAGTAGAAGCTAACACATATACAGACACAGTTTTCTTCAAAACGTGGGAAATAGGAAACACTGTTGAGTTTACCTATAGACTTGGTAGTAACCCTTTTCTTTAAGAAACAAGCAGTTAATTCATGCTGCTGCTAGAGTGGCCCTATATGGATTTCTCCAAAAGCACAACTAGTCCTGTATTTCATCCAAGACTGTGGATAATTAATAAAGTCATCATATTTCCTCTGCATATTTTCCTATAATGTGATGATTTGTTGATCAAAGATTCTTGACCAGGAGATGGTGTGTTTGTAGTTAGTAGTCATGGATTCACAGATTTGCCTTTGTTAATATATCCATTTGCTTTTTGAACACATCACTTAACTTCCAACCCTCTATTTCCAGGTAAATTGTGAACATGTTAGGCAACAAAGGCCTAAGCCCAGATGGGTTACCCAAAGGTCTCTCTACCAGTAATCTCTATCTACCTGGAAAATTGATAATTTACCCCTTCCCTCTGTTTCTGATCTTCTAACTAGTTATTAATCCATGTGCAGATCTTATCTTTCTTCCATTGTTACATTAAGAGGTTCTCTTGAAGAATTTTATGCAGAACTTACTGAAATAATTGTGGTCACATTATACTAATTTCCTAATGGCCTTTGTATACGAAGGGTTCCTTTCCCAGTGCTTCCTCTGCTGAAGAATTAAGCATTTTCTCCAGAGTAATCATTACTCTGGAGAAGTAATCATCCAGGAGTAATGCAGTATTAAGCAGCATATTGAGCATGAGGCATATGGAGGTAGGATTCCAGCCCCTTCTGCCTCTTAAATAATGATAGAAAATAACTGTAGGCAATGCTGGTGCAGCCCTAGCTGTAACATAGGTACTTAGTGAGATGAAACCCTTGATCTGCCTGCAGAAAGTTTTATCAGAGGCAACAGCATGTACAGCAAAGCAGGGGGAAAAAAATTGCAACTTGGAAATCCTCAGATTAACAATGCAAGGACACTCATAACTATTGTAGCATATAAACAAAGTCAACTATGAATGAAAAATGGCCTACAGTATGCTCAAGAATATCTGTGCTATTACATGCCCATAAGACAATGAATTATGTAATAGCATACTGCCTAATAAGCTAATAGGCCATCTGGTAATAATGTACAAAAACTCAAAATAATCTCTTTAGGGCTGAGTGCCATTGAATTAAACAACTGTGGTTTCACTAAGGGTTTGATTATTTGTCATCCCTACAGTTATTTATTTCACTTTGCATTTGCTTTTCACTTGCCCAATAGCAGAGTGATTCAACAACTTTGTTCTTTCTCTGTTGCTTCATTTGTCATGCATGTCCTTTCCAATATAAACTGATGGGGTTTATGCTTGTTTACAAATAGCTTTCAGGGGGTCATTTGTAGCCTTTTCTTTCAAAGGATTAGAAGAGAGACAAGAAGTAATGTTAATGGATTATATTCATTTTGCATATATAAAGAGAAGGGGAATAATTAACCAAAGAACAAAGCAAAAGAATCTGGAAGAGTTATTTGAAAATCTTTCATTTGGCATTCTTTTCTCTCACTGGACCCACTAAAGTCATTACTTCTAATTTTAAAATATAAGAGGTCTAAAACAGTGCACAGTTTTTGAACAACTGCGAGGTGCAGCGAAGCATGTAAGTTTTGTGCAGCATCTCTGCATCCTTCTTTATGTGGTGAACCAAGATCCTCACTTCTTCCTTCAAAAACAAACCAGCAAGGTGTTCTGGTTTTCATGGTTTCTGGGAAACAGCTTTGAATAGGAATGAGGGCATTTTCAGTTTCTGACTCAGAATCCAAACCAGAAATTCCTTAAAATCATTATCCATCTTTGAGTCCTTTTTGTCAGACTAGGAGAATAGTTTAAGTAATGAACTGAAACTGAGAGTATCATTAAGCTTCTTATTAGTTAAAAGTGACAAAGCCAAGACAATGAGTTCCCAGCCTGGACAGGACAGATCATGCCATTTTCATTCCTGTGAACTGAGCAAACCATTAGTGGGATGAAAACTTCCAGAAAGTTGACTTAAAGATATCCTGCAGCTTTTATGCTAGATTTTTTCACTGACAGAAAAAGAAGTTAAATGCTAGAAGATTAATCATTCTGGCAGTAGGACAGTAGAGTCAAGATGGCAAATTGCAGTATACAGTGCAAAAGCAGAGGTCTCTAGAAATTAATGTGTAAAATTATCAAAGCAAATGTAAAGTGATATACATGTTCCCCTAAGGACATCATAGTCGACATGTTTTACACATGCAACACAAGGATAAACAGCTGCACCTTTTCCAGCTGTTCAATTAATGAACCAGAGGAAGACTATTTTTGTGGAACTACTAGGAGACACAGATGGATATATTTGAGCCACCTACCTCTTTATTTTAGAGGGAAATAGTACACATGCCTATTAAGTAGTTAAAACAAGTCAGACATAAAAATGGAAATATTCCCATATGAGTACAGGTTGTATATTTGCAGAGAGCATTTAAAGTTCACACAAGGCTGAGGCAATGAAAATGAAGCCATTGTCTTTAGTTCAAGCACATTACCTGTTTAAGAGAGTTTTCAAAAACAGTTGCTTTAATTGGAGAGCGATTCTGTTTGAAAGCTTTTCTTGAGCCACAAATTCTGTCCAACTTTTCAAAAGCAGCAACTGAGAGTTATAGCACACTGTGCAAAAAGCTCTTTTAAAAAACAGGTCATATGATTTCAGCACCTACATACATCATTAGGATACTAAATTTAGTCTGTTTTACTGAAAACCATTATTTTATTTTACATTTTGTCAGTGATCAGTTTTGAAAGAACTAGTTTTGAATTCTGCACAGTGATTTTCAGGTTTTAGTCTTTGAACTGTTTTCTGCAAAGTATACCTAAAATTTCTACTAATAACTAGGAAAAGCAACTGTTATGAATTAGTATAAATTTACTACATAAAGGTTTTCATACACTTTAGAGATTTTTAGAGGTCTGGAAGTTAAAAAGCAGGTTGAAAACTACTTAAGTAGTACATTCTTGATACTAAGTAATAGTGCCCAGTGTTCACATAGAGAGTGGTGTGATGGCTGTATGGCCACCTGGTACTCTTACTAGAGTGTAACAAAACATTTTTACAAACACACCTTTTTCAAAGTCACCAAAAGAATTATCTTAGCTAATGGCACAGCAGTTCGGATGATGCTCTCTTATATATCCCTTGCCTGATTGATGGGATTATTTTGTGGGTTTTCTCCTGATTCCCTAAAGAGGCAGGTTGTTTCCATTCGTCTTGTTTATTTATCTGTTGGTTGTCCCCTAATAACTTTAAGCCTGTTGGACAATTTTCTGCCAAATTTGAAAGATATAAACATCTGAAGGGTAAGGGTATCTCTGCAAAATTTTTGAAGTCTGGAAAAAAGACATAAACAAGTGTTCCTCTTGAGGGAGCTGAAGCTCTGACTTTAAGACATAAACAAGTGTTCTCTTGAGGGAGCTGAAGCTCTGACTTTATAACATCTTTCTTTTTTGGCAGCAGCTGACTTATTTATCAGCACACGTATGATCTACCATACCATACAGCTTTTTGGTGGGTAAGCCTGATTTACAGGATCTGGTTAGGGAGGGCACAAATTATTGGAATATGAAGTTGGGAGGATGAAGGAGAGAGAAATACATTTAGGAAATCAGTCGCCTACTGCTCATGGAATAGATTGTTTATTTCTTTCAGGGTTGGCAAAAGTTATGTAACTGTAGAAATGCAGAATTTAATCAGTCATTCAGTTTGCATTAGGAAGCTTTTATTATTATAATAAATACTTTCCTTTATACGGTTAGTACTATTCATGACAATGCATGAAGCAGGTGAAACCATCATTATTTATCACTTACCCTCATGTTCCATGTCATTTAACATAGTTTTGTGGAAGTTTGTAATTCAGAATCATAATAGGTGCATCAATTTTTATGGGAAGCCATGTGTTATTTTCATCCAGTTTAAAACAATAAAGATTGCTGCAAATTGTTTAACATAATAGGAAGCCCTTTCTTTCAGGTTGGAGAGCTCCAGTAACCAGGGCCAGATTTTAATGGTGGCTATTGCCCCAACAATTTTCAGTTTTGCTAGTGTTAATCTGGTTAAGACATTTAGACTGTAATGTGAGACTGATGCTATCAATGTCAGTTATGTGTACCTGGAGACAGTTAGAGCAAAAATATCAGAATGTATGAAAGCTTCCAAAAGCTCATACTTGATAGAAATGCTTATCTATTTAATACTTAGGAACTTCCTCATTTTATGAAAGTCACAATCAAATAAGTAAATAAATAATAATTTAAAAAAATTCCATAATGCAAGTCTAATTAAATCTTTTCCATACCAAAAATGTAATGGCATCCTTCATCTTTCGGCACTGATGAGACTATTCATAGTCCTTGAAGTGCTGCACATGCTTAAATAACTCTTTAAGTTGGACCCCTTTTGAGGCAATGAACATCACACAAATACATCAGGCCTATGTGAGGGACTGCAAAGTGTTTGCTGTGTCATTTTATAAGTAATATAACAAATGGAGAGCTACATTCTTGTGGATGAGAGGGGCAAGGACATTCTATTAGTTTTTAAACTAGTATTCACTGTGTTACATTTTCCTTCATGAGTAAAACTGCTCAGAAATAGATCCATTCTTGATCTCTGGTGCTGGCTGGTGAAGTATGTGAAATTACATGTTTCACATTCTGATACAAAAGAAGATGGTAAACTAGGAAAGTGCAGATACATATAGGTCACTCTAAACAAGTAATCACTGTCATATATGTTGATAGAATTGCTTTCTCCCAGGTATTTGATTTCCCTTAGGAATCAAGTGATCTTTCGGCAAGGTGGAGAAAAAAAAAGCAAGGTACTATTTCTACAAGTCAAATACTAAAAGTGAGACATCATTTCTTTTTAAAATAGTTTTTACTTTGCTTCATTTTTTCATCTTTTTTTTTTTTGCTACTGTGCGCAGAACATATAAGGTTACAAACAAATTTTCTATCAGTCAGAACTTCTGCTGTTTAACAACATTAAGTATAGGATTCATCTCATGAACTCTGGTTATCTAGAAGCTTGCATCCAATTTGTGCCTTTCATCTCCACTTCCTCACTAGGCAGTGAAGAGAAACTGGAGTTTCCAGAAGAGCATTCTGTACATCTGCCTTCAACGCTTGTCAGAGACATGATATGACTAGTGTCTAATCTCTATTTATGTCCTGTCTCACTTAAGTGATTATTCAAATTTAGAAAAAATAAATCCCATCACCACTGTAAACTTATTGGAAGATAAACTACCTCTTTCAATTAGTAAGACCATTTTGAAGGAGATAAGCCTGTGAAACTGTACCATAACTACTTGTTCCCCAACAAGCTGCATGTAATTCTGGGCTCTTCATATCCTTTTAAACTGGAACATACACCTTTGTTTTCTGCATCTTTCTTTGTCACATAATCCTTATTATCTAGGCACCAATGTCACTCATTAATACGGCAACTTTTTCTCTGCATTTTTATTGATCTAGAGCTTATGAAGAAGTTCCTTGGGAGAATTTGTTACCTTCCAAAATCCAGCCTCTAGAATCAACAGTGGAAATGTTGGCTGATCCTCTTTCCAGTGTTTCATGAAAAGGAGGTACAATCCTGAACCTGAATTAAACCAAGTCAGTGAACAATTTCTTGGCAACTGTTTTTCGGTTTTGCTAGTGAAGTGGAGACTACATTTTGTGTAGGTCATACACATAAACACACAGGAATGTTTTCAAATAAAACAGAATCAAGTGAGCATTTAAGGGCATCAGCACACTCCAGTAATTGCCTTAAATGATTTAATTTTTCATATTTTTCCTCCCCCTCTCTGGTAAATTATTACAGAAGAAGATATGCATGCATAATATCAAAAGAGAGGACGAGGATATTAATGAAAAATTGGTTGATAGGAATAATGCTGTACCTCAACAAATTTTACATTAAATTAGTTTACTTGTGATTATTAACTGTAATAATAATTATTTTTGCTGAACTAAAATTCAGTCCTGCAATTGGTTCTGATTGCTGCATGAAAAAACTAGCAAGTCAAATGAATTAGGTAATATTGCCTACGAGAAGCATGAAATTATGATTTTAGGTTGTTGGATGCTTTTGGGACAGATTTCAAACAAGATCTTTTGCCTCTGCACAGAGATCTGTCAATTTGTAAATTTCAAGGTTTGTGAATATGGGAGTTGTTTGGACACTTCCTTTATGAAGTCAGTGTGCAGTTGATTATTTCAGAAAACTAAATTCAACAGCATTCGATAACTAGTAACAATCATAGAATCATCAAGGCTGGAAGAGATCTTTAAGATCATCGAGTTCAACTGTTAACCTGTCATTCTGCTGCAACACCTAAACACTAAAACCATATCTTCCAATGCCAGATCCAGACACGTCTTAAATGCTTCCAGGGACGGTGACTCCACCACCACCCTGGGCAACATATTCCAATGACTGAACAACCTGACAGTGAAAAAACGTCTTCTAATATCTACTGTGAATCTCTCCTGTCTCAGCTTATGGCTGTTTCCTCTAGTCCTCTCCCTGCAGGCATGGCAGAAGGGAGCAGCCCCCACCAATATTCAGTCAATAACTGTATGAAAAGTATGGTCTGACATGCTTCTCCTGTGAGAGAGTTAAATATAAAAAGCAGAACAGAAGAAATCTGTAAAGTGAATGATTGTCATGACTTCATACATCTGATGTTTTCATGAAGATATGGCATTTATGAAAACACCATGGTAATCACACACATGTACAAACTCAAGGTTTTATTTGCTGTCTGTGGAATCCAAAGCAATCACCTCTGCATCAGTGTCTTCACTCTGTATCTCACCTATTCTATTCTATCTCAGAGTGAGGCATTTTAGATGAGCTCAGTAAAGGGTGACAGAAGGTTCATAAGAGCTCAAATAAGCCAAATAGAGATGGGGAAAGAAAGGTTAGTCAAGGAATGATAAAATTCAAATGAAATTATAAAAGAAAAAAGATAATGACAAATAAAAACCTGCCTCTCTTTTCCAGGCCATGAGCCAACAAGTTTGCTCAGACAAACTCAATGGACAGGTGTGCTACTGGGCACAGTGAGGCATACAATGGGAGAGACAGGTACCTCTGCAGAGTGGAAGAAAAGGTCTATAGATAGATAGAAAATGCTACCGTGGTTTCTTGAATGTTGGTCTTTCAAAGAAATATAGACATGAACAGTGACAGTCAGTTGCAGGGACAGGCCAACAGAGACATTCAAACCTGATGTTAAATTTCCCTGTGCTCTCAAAAACTGAATGAGAGAAGTGTTACAAAAATGGAAGCAGTTTATTTGTAAAGAAAACTTGCTTATACTATCCTACAAAATGTACTGAAGTCTCAGTGTCTGAGGAGTTTAAAAGATGAGATTCTCCTGCCCAACTGGTTCATTTAACCTACATGTCAACCTAATTATTTACCATGGTCTTTTACCAAATTCAAATGAACACTACATCATTCCAAGAGTAAAACTTCGACTTGTCACCACCTGTCTTTTGGGACCCCATAAATATTCTACCAGAATGCTCTGTCTGGTAAAAAAAAAAAAAAAGTGATTGATCCATTTTGTCTTTAGCAATGTAAGCCAAAGCTCTTGAACCTATTATATCCTTTTGTATATGTAAGTACAGTGTCTCTGGGTTGTTTCTACTTTCTACATTTTTGATTAAGCCCAGGCAGTCCCTCTCCCATTTTCTGAAACTAGAGTTGTAAATGGATTATGTTGCCTAATCTTAAGGTGTTTTCTGGTGCCAAAGGAGAGCGTGTGCTGAGTATCCTTTTCTTGTGGATGACTCCAGCCTTTTACCTGTAAACTAGAAATCAGAATCTATTATCTCCTCTTTGTAAGAATATCCCAGTCTGATCATAAGTGTAGCCAAAAAGACAAGAGATGACACATTTCTATCATATCTCCATTTTTCCCAAGCCTCCTCTCTGCCCATATGTACTAGAGCTGTCATTTGTCATGTGCTGCAAGTTCAGCAGATGATTGTTTTCATCTTGGGACATGCCAAGCACCCAGGGCAGTTCATCTCTCTTTTTCTTGTGGACCATTTTAATAAATAACTAGAATTTTGGAACATGGAGTATACAGTTCAGCTGCCTCCACCAGCTGTCTTATGAATAATGTACCTGTCTTTGATTTCCTTTCTATCCAAGCAATGGCTGTGTTGGTGCAGTAAATTTTGAAGGCATTGACAAAGCCAGTGTATACTTAATCCTATTTAACCATGTGTGAACTTCAAGCTTCACTACACAAGCACTGCACAGTATGTTTCCCTTATTACTATGATTTTGATACTGCCTCTTGAGGTCTTGTTGCTTGGGAAAGGAGAAAAACAGTTAAAAAATCTGATCTTGGGCAAGAAGAATGGAAAGATTTGGGGGGAACATTCATTATTCTTTTTAATAACTTGAATGAAGTCTGTTAACACAGGAAGGACAGTAGGCTCTCAGATTCAAGGCTGAAGTTTCAGAGGCCTTTTTAATAACTGAGTAAATGGCCTACAGTGGTAACTCCCTACAGTGGTCTGTAGGACCACCCAGCATAGATGTATAAAGTTAGTCAGGGAAGCTGACACAAAATGAGCAGAGAGATGTCTACTGAGATGATGGTATAACAGATTTTATCCATCTACTTCTCTTACAGTAAGCTTAAACGCAATCTGTTTTGGCAAAGTATGAATTTTTCATAGTTCATTAAGGCCCAATTCTTTATTGTAATCACATTAGTGTTATAGTTTTGAGGAAATTAGGTTCCTAACACCATGCGTCACACTCTTCAATCAGAAATGTTGATTAGGGGTTGTTTTCCATCCAGGAGTTGCTCTGTGACCCAAGTGACTCTGCCATCCATCTAGCACAGAATGGCCATAATGAACTGACAATAAATGACTGTCAGACTTAAAAAAGCTACCCTTGGTGTGCCCATCCTGGGAAGTAAAAGCTGCCTGTGGTAACACCAGTGCAATATACTGTTGTGGTATAATGAACTCTTCACTATCAGCAGGCTCTGACCTAGGCTAAAATGGAAATCAGAGTGTCTCTCCTGCTGTTAATCTTGCTAGACTAATTGCACAATGAAGTTTTAAGAGCTCGGCAGGCACCTTTCTGTTTTCCTCAATTGAAAAGGGTTCCATATGAAACTGCTTTGAGCACATCTGCTAGATCATACCCCCAAACACTTGACTTGTGATTCCTAATGATGTTGAGGCTAACACAGGCACTCCTGTAAGTGCCCAGCAGTAGGAAACAGATCTGTGTTACTTTCAAATCTCAAGTGGGAAGGACGTGGAAGAGAAGGTTCTGAGCATAGCATGCACCAAGAATTTCTGCTGATGCCATTCTAAATAGGTTCCTTACTTTCAAAAAAAGTTGCATTTCTTTTCAAACTATGCCATACTTTCATGCTTCAAATGCTTCCTGTTCTTCAGTATTAGTGAATAGGTCTGTTGCATAGAAGTGCATGTACCATTGTTTGATGAGTAGTATGACTTGAATATTGCATTGTTAAAAGTGTGTGATTTTTAACTTTAGTCACTAGATGGCCTTTGAGTGTGCAAAAGCTCCCTGAATGCTCTTAGTAACACATTACTTTTAGCTAGATCACAAACTTTGAAATTTGAAGGTTTGCACTTTAAGCCTAAGGCTGTCTGTAGTAGCTTGAGCTAGTATTAAGCATTAGTTGGAAACTTTTGAGAAAGTAAAATGGTAAAAAGGAACAGCTTAATGGTAAGAACTAAGAATGTTAAAACAAAAGAGGAAAGAGACTGTTCTGTTTACTTGTTCAGAATTTCACTTTGCTTCAGCCTTTCCTGTGTGTCCTTGAAGTGGTCTTGCACAGTTCACATTCGTGAGAAAACTGCAGAATGGATACTTCACTGGGAGAAGCAGAGGGACAGAAGCTCTAATAATACTACTCTCTCTGTTCTGAAGAAAAGACATAATGCTGGGTCTCACATGTCAAAGTACGTGCTAAACATTCCTGTTTGTTGGGAGCTGCCTCATAAGCAGCTGGAATTTCTGAGTGCCACCTTAGATCTGTTCATTCACGTTTCTTATGTCAGTTTCAGGGAGAATGTGTATCCTTTTGCAATGCATCACATGCTGTCACACACGTGGGGAACAGCACATCACTCTTCACACATCCTTGTTCAATACAGCAGCAGGTTCAGAGGCAAAATAAGGTGCTAAGTATTATAAGGTAGTAAAATTTGACCAATATTTTTGCAACCAAGACTATTAATGCCAAGCCTTTATGACATAATGCACCATTCTGATTGTTTAATCTCACCTCCTCCACAAGTCATCTGGTTTCTCACAGCCTACATCTAACATTTCTGCTTGAATTAGAACATAAAATACTATAAAAATTATTGATAAATGAATGTGCTTTTAAAATGCAGTACATAGAGCATATAACTTAATGCTGAACAGAGTTGTCTGAGTTGTATGTGAAATTACAGAGCTGTTAACCCATAGTTCTGCTAGGCTGTACTGCTGTTGCTGTGGAGCTTTGCAGGATGGAGGCTGATGTGTACACATCCTGTCTGGAACTATTTGCAGTATATGATGCCATGGTGGATTTGCAAGTTAGAGCAACTGGTTCTGTATTACCTTCTCTGGTATGCTGCATCTCAATTTTTGGGGTTTTAGTGAGCAAGGCTAGGGGTTTCCTTGATTTCTGACAACCAGGAGACCAAGATCTCTGAGCCTTAAAAGATTCTGACATCTCAAAGCTGTGAAAAACTCAATTCTATCTGGAAAATTCTGTTAAGTTTTTCATATTTATTCTCTGTCTGTGACTGTCAGACAACAAGATTCCTATGATTTTAAGCAGAAGAAGAAAGGCAGAAGGCATAAAACTGATGCCTGTAACTTGTTTATCCCATTTTGTGTGTTTGCCAGTAGTCACGGAAAGATGTGTGAAGGTCTTAAGGCTGCTAAACTCCCACCAAAATCCTTGAAAAGTTAGATACATGCTTTGGATTTAGAAGCTAAATATGTTTCGTAAGTGTAAAAAATCTCTTTGTAGATAGTCACTTTCACTCTCATGAACTAGCAGCTGCACTTCCTGCCTGTAGCACTTGGGCAACGGCATTGGTGTCCAGGCATTTCTCTGGAGTGAGATGCTGTTCTTCCCCAGACCATGCAAAAAAGTGGTTGCCACTCAAATTATTAGTAAAGCTGCAAGTAGCTAAGAGTCATCTGTCATGTAACTGCAGAGACAAACAGGAAGAGTGGTGAACCTGGGCATGTTTTGTGTGTTAGCCTTCCACCCACTCTCTCTTCCTTTTGGCAGAACAGGAAACCATCTTCTGTTTTTCTTCTTTTTTCTTAAGGAATTAGAAAAATGATAAAAATCTTGACTTGTGCTGTAGTTGACCTAAAAGCCCCTAATATAAGAGCAGTGTTGTGAAAAGCTGCCATGTATATATCAAGCACTGTAGATAATATTGCGAATTCCTTACCATGCAATTTGGAAATTTAGCAGATGGAAATCCAGTGCAGTGTGACAAAGTGGTTTACCAAATCCCATCTGGAATCTGTAGCACAGTTAGGAATGAAAAGTCATATATCCTGAGCCCATACCTGTGCCATTTTTTAAACTGAATTCTCATCTTTAATCTTTGGAAATGGTGCTTTGCTGAAACTTGGTTTTAAATAGTATGAATTAGCACAAAATGATGACCATAGGTCTTACAAGTGAGACTGAGATGCAAGTGAATATTTAGGAATCTTAGTCATGTTTTATCCAGTTTTTCTCGGTGATTCAGACATGGAATAGCTGTGTGCACCTTCAGCACATGTTAAAAGCCATGCCATAAGTGTTGTGATTCATCTAGAAGTGCTAAATTTATGAATCTCAACTTATTAATCATCACTATGTTGTGATTTGGTGGCAGTCTAGGATGATCAGGGGATTCTCCCTAAGAGAGCTGTGAAAGTGCTTTTCAGGTCACACTTTTCATCTTCACACTTGACCAAAAATCCTGGATCATAATTCAATTCTTCTCATGCTCTTCCAGGCTTTCATTAAAACCTGTCTTGGGGGAAAGGCATCAATGGCATGCTCTCCTGAGGTCTGTTCCAGCCATGGAATGTGGCATCATTCTTAGTATCTGTGGGTTTTATATGCACTCTTGAATTTGTTTTAGAATGAATTTGTTCCTCCCTTTCGTCCTCGGCTATGTTGCAATGCATGCCTAAAAGCTGGAATCTTCTATCATTTCTTTGCCGAGGGTAACAGAAATCATGGGTTTTTTCAAAGAGAAAGTCAAAAAATTAGGAAGTTGTTGTGAAAGAGCACTCTGAAAATCTCTTTCTAATGCAGTTATTTTTCACCAACAGATCCCCCAAAATCTTTTCTAAAACTTCTGGTCTCGTTTTACAGCTCAGTGCTCCACTGAGTGGACTACATTGTCAGAGCACAGGTGTTACAGGCTTGAAGCTCATCTTTTTATGCCAGTAACTAGTGAGGTTCCAAATTGGATAGTTTGATGCCTTTTTGTATTTTCATTGTATGGTGGTTGTGTAATTTTGTTAGGTATACTGGACAACAATTGTCTGGTGGTTCAAATGGATTTTGTAGTCTTTTGAAATGTACCAAAATTTTGTGCATATTTTCTTTGTCTTGGTTTTTCCCTACCTTCCCTACTGGTCTTTTGTATTTGCTTTCTTGTCTTTCAAACCCGTGAAGTGCAAATTTCATTGGAGTCAGTGAGTTAAAGGTATCTCCTTAACAAGATTTCCTGAGCAGGGGTAGGATTGAGTACCTGTTCATATATTTTGCAGAAATGAGACCTCTGTAATTGCTTTTACAAGACTTTAAACTCTGAATTGATTGTGTCTGTTTTCCTTGGTTATTTTTTCTTTGTTTCTTACTAGTTTGATTATTTGCTTATACTGTCTATTTATTTGTGGGAGATAAATGCTGCATTAGCTTTTACATATCACATAGCTAACCATGTAAGTAGGTAAGCAACTGAGTGCTAAAGAGTATGTTTTATGCAGCCAGACAGGGTTTCAAAAATATCAACCACACATGAAAAGCAGAATTTTGAAAGAGCTCACATTCTGGGTGCACACTGATCACTAAACTCCTCTGAAAAGCTGGCCACAAACACCACAGTCTGATTGTCTGTGTGTAACTGCTGCTCCAGCCCAAATGTGTGTCAAGGAAGAGGAGGACAGTCCAAAGTCTGGAGAGGCACTGTATTTTCATCTCCCTTGGGCAAGTTACACAGGGGAGAACACCTTGCAGC